CATTCAATGAAATAAAGTGTGTTTTTTAATGAGATGAAGTGTATTAGTGGTGTTTTCATTAATGTGTTGACTTCATGACAATTTGTGATTAAACTTAATTAAACACATTTTATATCTCATATAAACTAAAGTGAGAGTGATAATGTCATATAAACATCACTTGAGACCGAAATTTGGTTCTTTTTTTTTATGTTCGTCATAGTTGATACTGAAGACCCAATATCGGGTACTAAAACACCATAAAGTTGGTACTATCTTACTCTAGGTCCGGTACCAATTTTCGCAAATGTTGACTAAAATTGAAGTAATCCATTTTCGTAAACCAAAAGTAGGTATTAATTGATTAAAAACATGTACTACTCAGAAGAAGAAGCGGTACTATTTCTGTCAAAATTGGTACCATTTTAGTAATCGTGATTTGTTTAATTTTTGTCACGTGGATCGTTGACGCGTGATTTGGTTGAGAAATAGTGGAAGTTAAAACATATAGGTAGAATTTAGAGTAGTCATGTATGATCATTCAATGAGATGAAGTGTGTCATTTATTGAGATGAAGTATATTAGTAGTGTTTTTTCATGTGTGTTGAGTTCGTGACCAATTTGTGATTAAACTTAATTAAACACATTCTAAATCTCATGGAAACTAATGTGAGAGTGATTATTGGTCATGTAAATAAAATTTGAGACCGCAATTTGTTGTGTTTTTTAGTTTGTCGGAGTTGGTACTGAAGACTCAATATCTGGTACTAAAACACCACAAAGTTAGTACTATCTTACTCTAGGTCCGGTACCAATTTTCATAAATTTTGACCAAAACTGAAGTAATTTATTTTCGTTGACCAAAAGTAGGTACAAATTGATTAAAAACATGTACTATGCAGAAGAAGAAGCGGTACTATTTTTATCAAAACTGGTACCGTTTTAGTAATCGTGATTTCTTTAATTCTCCATGTTTACCATGTTACGTGGATCATTGGCACGTGATTTGGTTGAGCAATAATGAAAGTTCAATCATATATGTTCAATTTAGAGTAGTCAAGTATGATCATTCAATGAGATGAAGTGTGTAATTCAATAAGATGAAGTGTATTAGTAATATTTTTTTTTTATGTATGTGTTGAGTTACATGACCAATATACAATTAAACACATTTTAAATCTCATAGATACTAATGTGAGAGTGATTATTGATCATGTAAACATCATTTGAGACTGAAATTCGTTGTTTTTATGTTCATCAGTGTTGGTACTGGAGACTCAATATCTGGTACTAGAACACCATAATTGCGGTACTATGTTACTCTATGCCTGGTACGAATTTTGCAAATGTTGACCAAAATTGAAGTAATCAATTTTTTGTTCTTTCTGCAAAGTATGTACTAGTAGATCATTAATTGGCGAATAATCATAAATATTAGCATATTAGATCTCCTTTCTTCTCCTCAAAAGCAGCTCCTTCACAATATCTCCCTTCTCCCCAGTCTCA